CATGTTCTAATGAATGTACAATTTATATTGAAACAACAACAATTGAGAATAATGTTAATTTAGTATTAACAAAATCAAATATTCATATTAAAGATTCACAAAAAGAAACATATATTAATATACTTGATAACAGTAATGGAAAATTAGAAGTAGATTTAGATGGAATTTATAATACACAATTCCATGTGAATGGGAAATCAGGAAATATTAAGTTAGTAGGAATTAATGTATTTAATGAACTTATTCTAGAAGGATCAATAATTAAATCAGATAATTCATTTGACATTGACAAAGTTACATATAAGTCAGGAACATTTGTGTTATCATCATCAAATAATATAGCAAGTATTTCACAATTCAATTATGAATCAAATAATGAACCAAATGAAAGATGTACTCCACTTATTTCACATCAACAAGAACATATTAACAATGGAGAAATATCGTTTAAGATTAGAAGTATCACTAATTCCAATGAAAAAGTGAAAATGATAGAATGTGGAGGAATTGTTCTTCAAGAATGTAAAACAGATACCATAACATATAATTGTCCACCTATTAGATGTTCATATAAGCAAGAAAATAAACTTCCAACAGGATGTTATTGTACATATTCACTTATAAGTAAACAAGAATGTATATTTGATTGTGAGAATGAAAATGAATGTGTATTTAATGATCCAGTAAGTAATTCATTAATAGAAAGAATAATTAACTATGGAGAACACATTTTAATGAAATCAGTTTCAAGTATTTATACAATGAATATCAATGAAACTATAATTGAATCGAAATTCCCAATAAACATCTATCAAATAATAGATGGAGAAGATAAAAGAATGAAAATTAAAGGAGTGACATTAAATGTTGATTCAATCACAATGAGTAAAGGAACACTCACACTAGAAACAGATAAAATCTTTACAAGAAGAATTGAAGTTACAGGAGGAGAAATAGAAATTAATAATATGATTACATTCAGTGAAAATAATAAAGCATTAATTGAAATAGAAGGGAACAAAGAAGTGAAAGAAAGAGGAGTTTTCATAGAAAGAGGAATAATAAAAATAGGAGAAAAAGGGAAGATAATAATGAAAGGAGGAACAAAAGAAGATGGATATGTTAATAAAATCACAATAAAAAATACAATGATAGAAATAGAAGGAAATAGGATAGATGATGATATTATTGTAATAGAAAATGGAGGAGATGTGAAGATTGAAAATATTAGTGTGAAAATTGTTGGAGAGAATAAAGGAGATAAATGTTTTAATTTAATACGAAACAATGATATTGAACGAATTACATTAATAGGATCAAGTGGAGTTATTTTAGATTCACAGCAATACATTTTATCAGCATGTCCAAAAGGAATTGAACCAAATGTTCAAGAATTAGCATGTTCAAATTTAGAAAATAAAGAAAATATAACAACCGAAGTAGAGTGGGAAAGAAAAACATGTCCATGTTCAGGAGATAAGTGTATAATTGATTTTTCATCAACAACAAGTGTAATGTACAAATTAATATCAAATGAAAAGTATGAAGG